TGCCCTTCTAAACTTTAAATAGTCAACCACCTTTTCCAACAAATACACTGAAATCTAAATTTTAAAAAAATATTCTAAAAAATAAATCAATCCCAGAAATCCTTTATTTTGCCCAATGACATCATTATTTAATATGCCCCATCTCTCTCTTTTCTCATAGTTGGTAACTGTAATAGTTAAGGTAAAGGTAAAGATTCCCCTCGCACATATGTGCTAGTTGTTCCCGACTCTAGGGGGCGGTGCTCATCTCCGTTTCAAAGCCGAAGAGCCAGCGCTGTCCAAAGACGTCTCCGTGGTCATGTGGCCGGCATGACTCAACGCCAAAAGCTCACGGAACGCTGTTCCCTTCCCACCAAAGGTGGTCCCTATTTTTCTACTTGCATTTTTTACCTGCTTTCGAACTGCTAGGTTGGCAGAAGCTGGGACAAGGAATGGGAGCTCCCCCTATTATGCGGGCACTAGGGATTCGAACCGCTGAACGTCTGACCTTTTGATCGACAAGCTCGGCATCTGCGTCCCACCAGTAATATAGTTAGTACTAATATAAAAATATTAACTATCTCAGGAGTGTCAAACTCAAGGCCTGGGGGCCGGATCCAGCCTGCAGGGTGCTTAGATATGGCCCGTGGGGCCGCCCTGGAAATGTATTTATTTATTTATTTATTTATTTTATTAAATTTCCTTACCGCCCTTCTCCCGAAGGACTCAGGGCGGTGAACAGCCACGAGATAAAACACATAAATACAAAAATTTTAAATGAATTAAAAACGAATTAAATAATTTGGCTGAATTTAAAATACCCCATAATTTGAAACAAATTAAAATTTACATTTAAAAAGGGGAGAAGATTTAGGCCAGGATAGCAAATAGCAAAGGACCAGCCCGTGATGTTTCTGCCAGTGCAAACGGAGTTTAGGAGGGCTATGGGTGGCCCTCCCGAGCTCTGTTTTCACTGGCAGAGGGTTGCAGGAAGCCTTTGCAGCCAAAAATGGAGCTCTGGATCCCGTTTTCACCGGCAAAGTGCTCGGGCCACCACAGGCGCCCCGACACAAGTGATGTCGAACTGGCCACAGCCACCCTGGCCACACCCACATGCCCCCCCCCAAGGTCAAACACAACCCTGATGCGGCCCTCAATGAAATCAAGTTTGACACCGCTGAACTATCTTGTAGAAATTGTTTTTTTTTTAAAAAGTCTTTAAATTTGGGTGGAGTGCCTGCGGTCCATACTTAACGCACTTTGGTCTGCTTAGAAGCCAATCTGTTTAAACTGAGTAAGTTTTGCTTCCAGGAAAAATAATATATAAGCCTAAAGGAACGGACCAAATAGTGCAGTCCTTTGCATGTTTACTCGGTAGCGATACCCATGGAGTTCAGTGATAATTATGTAGAGGATTGTATCTTTGATCTGTCTTTGGAAGGGTGGAAGCCTAGGGTCATGGAACTGGACGCAAGGCATTGAAGTCTGGAAGAACAAGTTGCTTCACTTGAGGATAGAGAAGGCTTCCCAAAATTTCTCCCTACGCTGATGTTCACACTGTTGGGAAGCGCCCAGCCTGGGAAGGGAGGAAGGATGAAGCGTGGAACTAGTCTGGGGTCACTGGGCCACTGCAAAAGGTCAAGGACCGACTCCACTAAGTCTCTAACTCCACTAAGTCTCTTGGAGCCTTATCTAATTGTTCCCAATTAGACTGGGAAGATTCCTGTATTATAGGCAGAACATAATAAAGTAGTTAGCTTGGACTCTGCACGCGTGGGTCTGGTTGTCTGCTCTGACACACATTCCTCAAACCTTAATTAAGAGTCAGTCAGTGAAACTGGAAGAGAACTGCATAGTAGCGAAAAAAATCAGAAAGTTCTTAATTTCAAGAAAATGCCTTAATTGGAAAAGGTGTTGCCAGACTCCTCCTAACTGGCTGAACCGATTAGAGAGGTCCTTGAGTATAGCCAGCACTATAACGTACAGGTAGTCCTTGACTGATGACCAGGGTTGGACTTCAAAAATTTTAGCAAGGGGTTCTCTGCCCGGTTGCTGGGTGGGCGTGGCCATGGTGGGTGTGGCCTAGTAGGCCTCCTGCACCATGGTGTGTGTGTGTGGGGGGGTGCTTTTGCCCTCCCCAGGCTCTGGAGGCTTTCGTCGAGCCTCTGGGAGGACGAAAATGGCCTCCCCAGGCTCCAGAGGCCCTCTGGAGGCCAGAAACAGGCCCGTTTCTGGTCTTCCCGAACTTCCGGTAGACCTGTTTTTCACCCTCCCCGAGCCTCCGTGCACGACCTGCACTTATCTGCATCCAAAACGGGCTGCGTGGGGATTCCTGGAAGGGGCGGAGCAAGGTGGGCGGGGCCAGCCAGGAGTAGGATTTGGGGGTTGTCTGAACTGCACAGAATCTTAGCTAGAGGTTCTCCCGAACCTCTGTGAACCCCCAGCAGCCCCACCCCTGCTTACGAACTCAATTGAGCCCAACACTTCTGTTGGCTTAAGAATGTCTAAGTAGTGGACAAAATTGTGGAAACCTTTTGGGAAAAGTGTATTTTTGAGGTTTGATGGCTAATAACACCACTTTTTTTTGGGGGGGGAGTTTCAAGAGAATCATATTCCACTGCTGGAATGGCCTGGGAATAGTCCAGACCTTCACCCAATTCAAAATCTATGGAGCCGACTAAAGAAACTTGTTAGTCAAAAGCAACCCAGTTAATAGAAGCCATCCTTCAATCTTGGTTTCACATTAGAACAGCTGCAGAACTAAAAGACTTGGTTCACTCCATGGGAAGACGTTGTAAGGCCATCAGTCATGCTAAAGGTTACCCAACTAAGTATTCACTGTCATAGTGATTATTTTTGTATATCTCGATTTTTCTATGGTGATAATTTTTGTATACCTCATTTTTTCTACGTGTTTCACTTTTCTTCTTTATACTGTAACTGCTATTCTAATAGTAAATCCTTCATAAAAGTTACTGTATTACATTCTTCATTAAATTATCTTTCCATTGATATATAATTTTATGGCACTACTCCCCCCAAAAAAGTGGTGTTATTAGCTAGTTTTAGAAAATACACTTTCCCCAAAAGTTTTCCACAATTTTGGCCACTACCGTAGGTTGATCAACAGCGGTGGGCAAAATATGAATCCTTCCATAAGGCTTGGCGGTTTTTGTGTGTCTGTATGTGTGTGTTTACCCCAAAAGAACATGAGCCTGAATTTAAGATACTCCGTCTGCCTCCGTGGCATAAGCAGACAAGAAAATCCTGTGTTTCTACTATCGTATTTGCAGCAACTGGAGAGTTTTAGGAGTAAACAATGAGGTGGTATGTACAGTTTCGGTTTTCAAACAATGCAATAATATTGCTTGTTGGGTCCAAACAATAGAATAGAAGAATGATTGGGGAGGAACACTAGGGAAGGTTGTCGAATGCACAACCAAGCACGGGAAGACTTCTTTGTGGTATTGTTTGTGCTTCACAATGCTCTGCTCCAGAGGTGGTATTCAGCCAGTTCAGGCCGGTTCGAGCGAATCGGTAGCAGAAATTGTGGGTGGCCACCTGCCCATCTGCCCTGGCTCTATGCTGTCCTATTTAGGCCTGTTTTTGAGTCCGGGCGCATGTGCAGAAGGTGTGTGCAGGAGCAAAGTGCATGTGCAAAAGGCCAGGCACATGTGTGGAGGTGGCGCATGCGTTCACATTTTCGGTGCTGAGCGAACCGGTAGCTAAATTATATGAATTCCACCTCTGCTCCTCTCTCTCTCTCTCTCCTCTCTCACCAGAACAATCACAATTTTTTGGTAGCTGTAGAAAATTCACTTTTCCTTCCAGGCTTTCCAGGGATAAATGTGAAAGGAGTGTTTTTCCTTTTCCTTTCTTTTTTTCCCCCAAACTTCAAAATTAATCATTACTGTATTTAATGAATGTCCTTTTATTAACGAATATGCCTCTGTTTTATTGGGAGCCTCTTAAGAGATGTTTTGATGTTAGAACAACTTGCCTCCAGAAGTTGTGAATTCTCCAACACTGGAAGTTTTTAAGAAGATGTTGGATAACCATTTTTTTTTAAATTAGATTTATATGCCGCCCTTCTCCGGAGACTCAGGGCAGCTTACAATGCGTTAAGCAATAGCCTTCATACTTTTGTATATTTATACAAAGTCAGCTTATTGCCCCCACAAACTGGGTCCTCAATTTACCTACCTTAGAAAGGATGGAAGGCTGAGTCAACCTTGAGCCTGGCGAGATTCGATCTTACTTTAATTGCAGACAGCTGGTGTTAAATTACAGTGCTCTGTCTGTTGAGCTATCCAGGCTTTTACCTGATTTGTCTGAAGTGGTGTAGGGTTTCTTGCCTAAGAAGGGGGTTGGACTAGAAGACCTCCAAGGTCCCTTCCAACTCTGTTATTCTATTCTATTGATGTAAGTCAATAGTCTATCAGTCTATCAGTAAGTCCTTGACTTACAACAGCTCATTTAGTGACGTTTCAAAGTTAACAACAGCACTGGAAACAAGTGACTTAGGACCGTTTTTCGCACTTACGACCATCGCAGCGTTTCCAGGGTCACGTGATCAAAATTCGGATGCTTGGCAACTGACTCATACTTATGACAAGTTGCAGTGTCCTGGAGTGACCTAATCCACTTTTGCGACCTTTTGACAAGCAAAGTCAACGGGAAAGCTTAACAATGGTAGGGATTCGCTTAACAACGGTTGCAAGAAAGGTTGTAAAATGGGGTCAAAACTCACTTAACAAATGTCTCACTTAGCAACAGAAATTTGGGACTCAATTGTAGTTATAAAACGAGGAATTGCCTATATATCAAATAAATACAATTATTACTTCCAGGCATGTTTAGTGGAGGTTTCCAGTTGTGTACACTGTTTTTTGTTTTTTGTTTCAGTTGTGTACACTATTTTTTTTGGGTTTGTTTTCCAGTTGTGTACGCTATTTTTTGTTTCGTTTTTGTTTCTCAAACGCCTGCAAGAAAAATAAGCTACATCTTTGTCCTTTTTCAAGTTATCTTCGGAATACACCGAACAAACGTGTGGTCTGTGCGGCAACTACAACAGCAATCAAGGAGATGATTTCCTCACTCCCTCCGGGCTGGTGGAAACTCTCGTGGAAGACTTTGGAAATTCTTGGAAGCTGAAGGGAGACTGTGAAGATCTGCAAAAACAAGACAGCAATTCCTGTAACCTGAATCCCCGTTTAGGTAGGTGGTGCTCAGTGGTGGGATTCAAATAATTGAACAACTGGTTCTCTGCCCTAATGATGGCTGGGTGGGCATGGCCATGGTGGGCGTGGCCAGGGGGTGTGACAGGCAGCACTCGGCCTCCTGCATCCCCCTGGGAGCAAAAACAGGCCGCGGGCAGGGGGGGGGCGTCACACCCCCATGCCCTATTTTGGGCCTAGTAGGCCTCACTGAAGCCTCCTGGGAGTGAAAACGGGCCATGGGAGGGACACACACTCCCGGTCCCCATTTTGGACCTAGTAGGCCTCCATGCACTTACTTGGGAGCCAAAATGGGGTGCGTCAGGACTCCTGGAAGGGGTGAGGTGGGAAGGGGTGGAGCCAGCCAGCAATTTAACTACCGGTTTGCCTGAACCAGCCCAAACCGGCTGAATCCCACCACTGGGTGTGCTTATGACCAAATCCTTGTGGGCTGTGATAAAAAAAAAATAGCATTGTGTTATTTTAATCCAGCAAAGACTTTTTGTGCCCATTAAAGGCAGGCGCAATTCCCTTGGTGAAGTTTTTAGGGACAAGAATCCACTCCTTTCCATGCATTAAATGAGAGTTCTGGTTTTGCACTGTTTTTGTTTTTGTTTTGCTTTTAGCAAACTTAGGACACGATTAAATGCCTAAGGAATAATATCCAACGTCTTGCATTGAAACGAGTTTTATTATTCTCTCGGCCCTTCCTTTTCTTTTTTTTTCCCCCCTGGCTGTGCCCACCTTAGGAATGTTCCTTTGGCAGGCTTACCCAAGGCTACATACACAACAAAAAAGATGAAAGGATATTTCTTACCTCTCCCGGTTAAAAATACTTAACAAGAGATTTCCCGATTCTGTTTCTCTGCCTGCAATTCTCTGCCCCAAGTACATCGGTAAAGAAGTTGCCCTATCCCAGCTGGCTTCCTTTTTGGCCAGTTAAGAATATCCAGCATTGAAAGATGTAGTAGGGTAAACCATTAGAGATATCAGCAGGGAATAGTGGAGTGAGCCCTTCCTCTAGCAAATGGACAAGAAGCAATGGATGGAAATTAATCAACCAAGAACTAAGGAGAAATTTCCTGACAGTGTGAACAATTAATCAGTGGAACAACTTGCCTCCAGAAGTTGTGAATGCTCCAACATTGGAACACTCCACCACTGGAACATTTCCAACACTGGACCAGGTCTTTAAATATTTCCAGAAAGACAACCAGAAGGAAGTTATTAATAAAGGAGAATATTTGTAGCTCAGGGTTGAAATGAGAGGTCCTTGGTGCTCTCTGAGCTTGGTGGTTTTCTTGCAGATGTTTCATGACCCAAACTAGGTAACATCACCTAGGACGGGTGTCGGCAACCTCTGGAGCTGCATGTGGCTCTTTGGGCCCTCTGCTGTGGCTCCCTGTGCCATCACTGGTTGGCCCCACCCCTCGCCCCTTTTATTTTTTTGGATATTTTTTAAATCCAGACTGGATCGTCAGCCATGGTGGAGGCTTCCCTTCGGGCGACCCTCCTCCTCTTGTGACCCCCTGGTGGGCTATGGCTGAGCCGGGAGCATGTACATGCATTGGGTAGGTCCTCCTCAAGCGAGCGCCAAAGCACAGGAAATATTGTGGCCCGTCAGTGGCCTGTGCGGATTGTAGCTGATTCCGACAACGAGGAGGCTGGTGTGGTGTCGCGCCAGCAGCCTGTGCAGCTGGCACTCGAGTCGGACAGTAAAGAGGCGGGAGAAGATGTGGTGCCAGAGGCAGGGATTCAGCCAGGGCCTTCAGAAGCTCCAGAAGCTCCTTTAAGTGAAGAGGACGAAGAGGAGGAGCCTCTTCTCAATGCACGGGCTCACAGAGCTGCCAAAAGGCAAGAGTGGCTCCTCAGGAGGAGGTTTCCTCAAGAGTAAGGCTTGGGGCTAATTGGCCACTGCCTTAGCCTATTTAAGGAGGAACGCCATTTGCAGCAAGCTGTAGGGAACAACTTTAGTTCACTTTCCTTGGCATCTGGATTTTCTGCAAAATTGCTTCTGGGCTTTCCGCCAACTCTAGTAAGACTGTTATTATCTTATCTTGGAATGCTTGTAGACTGTTAAGGAAGTTTATTAACAGCCTTTGGTTGAAAAAGACTGAATTATTTGAGTAAAATAAGCTTTGTATAGTTTTTGTGTATACTGTGTTCTTTGGGGTCCGTAGCTGGGGCAGAACAGGAAAGGTGCGGGCAGGGCGGCTGGCTGTTTGTTTAAGGAGGGTCTCCCCGCATGTGTGCACACTCCTGGCCAAGCCACAACCTGCCAGGGGGTCACAAGAGGAGGAGGGGCAGGAGGGTCACCAGAGAGTGCAGGAGTGAAGTGGCCCTGTACCTGCCTTTATGACACATTTGCGCGTTCTCTTCTCCTGACCTACGATAATGCAGAGACGTAGTGGCACTAATGAGCTGATGTCACAGTCTCATCTTGGCTTGATTGGGCAATAAAAGTAATAGAGTTGGAAAGGCTCTTGGAGGTCATCTAGGGCAACCCCTTGCTCTCGCAGGAGACCTATACTATTGTAGACAAATGGTTGTCCAATCGCTTCTTAAAAACCTCCACAACTTCTGAAGGCAAGTTGATCCATGGTTCATTGTTCTCACTGTTAGGAATGTTCTCCTTAGTTCTAGGTTGCTTCTCTCCTCGGTTAGTTTCCATCCATTGTTTCTTGTCTGTCTTTAAAGGCCCTTTGTTGCAAGCGGGAAAAACTGGATCTGTCGCTAAAACTCTCTTAAAAATACTCCTGAAATTTCATGGAAAATTAAAAAGTCATGAAATATTCTGAGGGAGACGGGCGGTTTCAAAATACAAATAAATAAATAAAGTACAGGTAGCCCTCGACTTACAGCAGTTCATTTAGTGACCATTTGAAGTTACAACGGAGCTGAAATAAGCGACTTGCGACCGTTTTTCACACTTACGACCGTTGCAGCATCCCCAAGGTCACATGATTTGCATTCAGATGCTTGACAGCTGACTCACATTTATGATGGTGGCAGTGTCCCCGAGTCACCTTGTGTCGGTTGCAGTGTCCCTTTTGCGACCTTCCGACAAGCAAAGGCAAGGCCGAAACCAGATTCGCGAACAACCGTGGGACTAATTTAAGAATTGTGGCGATTCACTTAACAAATGTGCCCCCCCCCAAAAAATTGGGTAAAACTCACTTAACACACTTCTCACTTAGCGACATCAATGTTGGGCTCAATTTTGGTCATAAGTTGAGGACTACCTGTAAGCCTTCTGTGCCCAAACAGCACGCTATTGTGACAATTTGCCCTTCTTCCTCTGTTGATCCTGCTTGTCTTGCAGCCAGGTACGCCGAGAGTTCCTGCTCGGTTCTGCTGTCACCCCTGTTTGAGCCTTGCCACCATGAGGTGAGCCCTTCTCCCTACCTCAAGAACTGTCGCTATGACGTCTGCTCCTGTTCGGATGGGAAAGACTGCTTGTGCACGGCGGTCTCGGCCTACGCCATGGCTTGCGCCCGCAAAGGAGTCCTCGTCGACTGGAGGAAGCCAGAATTTTGCGGTAGGTGGCTCTTGCCCAAACTTGCACTTGATAAAGTCAGGGCTCGGCCTGCGCTACTAATATAGGGTGAAGTTGTGTGAATGTGTAGCACTGAAATGTTTCTCATTCACTTCAGATGGAAGACAAGATTTGGATCAAGGAGGCTCTCTCTCTCTCTCTCTCTCTCTCTCTCTCTCTCTCTCTCTCTCTCTCTCTCCCTCTCCCTCTCCCTCTCCCTCTCCCTCTCCCTCTCCCTCTCCCTCCCTCCCTCCCTCCCTCTCTCCCCCCCCTCTCTATCTATCTATAGCCAAGGTGGCGCAGTGGTTAGAGTGCTGTACTGCAGCTACTTCAGCTGACTGCTAGTTCAGCAGATCAGCAGATCAAATCTCACCGGCTCAAGGTTGACTCAGCCTTCCATCCTTCCGAGGTGGGTAAAATGAGGACCCAGATTGTTAGGGGGGCAATATGCTATTTAGTATACTGTCGATTGTTGTAAGCCGCCCAGAGTCCTTGGAGAGTGGGCGGCATAGAAATATGATTAATAAAATAAAATAAATAAATAGAGAGAGAAGGATCAGCATACAATCCCTATGTAGTCACAAGCGAACTAAGTCCAACCTCCCTTGAATTCCATTGACCTCTCAGCAGGTGCCAACCATTAGTTGAGAAGATGCCTGCGCATAGGCTTTTCAGCAATAAATCAGTTTAACTGAACCTTCACATGTGGACTTAGTCTTTCCTGCTGGACAATTTGATCACAACATCACCATAGGCCAATGAGCCCAGCAGCCTGGGAGCAACGATAGCTGATTTTGTGGAGCAGGCAGGGCCAAACAGGGTGAAAATCAATAGAAGAGAAGAGAAGAGAAGAGAAGAGAAGAGAAGAGAAGAGAAGAGGAGAAGAGAAGAGAAGAGAAAGAGAAGAAGAAGAGAAAGAAGATGGAAGAAAGAGAAAGAGAAGATGGAAAAGGGAAGGGAAGAGAAGGAAGGAAGGGAAAAGGAAGAGAAGAGAAGATGGGAAGGGAAGGGAAGGGAAGGGAATTGAAGGGAAGGGAAGAGGAAGAGGAGAAGGAGAAGGGGAAGGGAAGGGAAGGGAAGGGAAGAGAAAGGGAAGGAAGAGAAGAGAAGGGAAGATGGAAGGGAAGAGAAGGGAAGATGGAAGGGAAGAGAAGAGAAGAGAAGATGGAAGGGAAGAGGAGAGGAGAGGAGAGGAGAGGAGAGGAGAGGAGAGGAGAGGAGAGAAGAGAAGAGAAGAGAAGAGAAGAGAAGAGAAGAGAAGAGAAGTCAGGAATAGGGTGGTATAGAATAGGACAGGACAGGACAGGACAAGACAGGACAGGACAGGACAGAACTTTTATTGGCCAAGTGTGACACACAGGGAATTTATCTCTGGTGCATAGGCTCTCAGTGTACATACCAGCAACAAGCGATAAATCATGATCACAGTCATCATAAAAATACATTTATCATCAATCATAAGATACAAACAACACTTAGTGATAGTCACAGGATACTAAATAAGCAATCAACATAAATCATACTAGGATACTAAATAAAACAATATAAATCGTAAGATACAAGCAACAAAGTTATAGTCATAAGATAAGGAGGAAGGTAATCGGAAAGTTGAGAAGAAGAATAGTAATACAGCCTTTCTAGATATTAAGATTCATAGACTAGACTAGACTAGATTCATAGAACTTTAAAGGGACGTTGAAGAACTTCTAATCTCACTTCCTGCCCACAGCAGGAGTCATCATATCATTTCTGACAAATGGTTGTCCAGTCTTCTTTCTGAAAACCTCCAGCAATGAAGCTTCCCTCCCCCACCCCCGTTTTTAGTCTTACAGTTCCTGAAAGCAATGGCTTCATGCAACTTTTAACCCACATTTTATCCAAAAATGGTATTCAGCTGGTTCAGACCGGTTCGCCTGAATCGGTAGTGGAAATCACCACCCGCCTGCCTGCCCCGATTCTATACCATCCTATTTAGGCACGTATTTAAGGCTGGGTGTATGCACGGAAGGCGCGCGCACCAGCAAAGCACATACACAGAAGCCTTTGCGAACCGGTAGGGAAAGTAAGTTAATACCACCCCTGATACTAACTGCAAAGCATAACATGTTGACACATCACTGCCGCCAGGCCCAACTGTGAGGAAGGGGCACCTCTGAGAGTGACAGTTGGGGTGCCAACGGTCCCCTCCTGATATAATATAGCCTGGATTAGTTAGGCTGAATGATTTAAAGCTCTTGGCCTGAGAGGCTCATATTTTACCGAGAGGTATTAAACCATAATAAAGCTTTCTCGTTTTATACTGAGCTTTAGAGGATGGGTGTTTTTTTTTCTTCTTAATGGACTCCTTTCAAAATCTATAAGCCTGTGTGATAAGAGTGTGATGCTGCTACCAGTAATGTGCTCTATGTTCTCTTCTATTATTTATGCTTTTATTGAATGTCTTTTATATTGTTATTATTATTATTCTGAACTTCATAATGACACCACGCGACGTTCAGCGGTAGGAGAAGGGAAGAAAAACAGGGAGGGGATCAAAGATGCTTGGACGGCAATTGCCAATCATTCAATCATTCTTCATAATTAATCTTCTGGTGATGCGGCTTCTCTCCGTGGGTGAAGCTCATCAGGTCTCCCTCAAGTCAAGATGCTCTTTTCCCCAATCACATCCACCAAAACTTCATGGCACAGTTTTGACACTGCAAGTGTCTCCCACCAGAGTAGGGAGAATGCTTCCCTCTCCAATGAATGAGTAGATGGAGACTTGAACTGGTGTGTTTGTGTGAGAGAGAGTGGTGGGATTCAAATAATTTAATAATCGGTTCTCTGCCCTAATGATCGGTTGGGGGGGGAGCATGGCCATAGTGGGCATGGCCAGGGGATGTGACAAGTAGCATTCGGCTTCCTGCACCTCCCTGGGAGCAAAAATGGGCCCCATGGGGAATGCCGCACCTCCCGCACCCCATTTTGGGCCTAGTAGGCCGCCCTGCAGCATCCTGGGAGCAAAAATGGGCTGCAGAGGGGCCATGCCACACACCCCGTGCCCCGTTTTGGGCCTAGTAGGTCACCCTACACCCCCCTGGGAGCAAAAACGGGCTGCGGGGAGGCCATGCCACACATCCCGTGCCCCGTTTTGGGCCTAGTAGGCCTCGCTGCAGCATCCTGGGAGCAAAAACGGGCTGAGGGGGGGGCCACGCCACACCCTCTTGTGCCCCATTTTGGGCCTAGTAGACCTTCCTGCAGTTACCTGGGAGCCAAAACGGGGCGCGTGGAGACTCCTGAAAAGGGTCGGGCAGGAAGGGGTGGAGCCAGCCAGCAATTTAACAACCAGTTTGCCCGAACCAGCCCGAACCAGCTGAATTTCACCACTAGTGTTTGTGTGTGTGTGTATATTTGTGTGTTGCAAAATTTGGACTGATGGACCAATTCATCAAACGTCGGCAGCTCTCTGTGGAGAGAGTGAGATTTTCTTCCTGTAGCCAATGGAATGAAAACCAGAAGATTGGCCTTTCAATGGTTATTTACTTATTTATTTAAGAGAATTTATGTGGCTGCCCACTCACTTTCAGTGACCAGATCTGGATGGCTCACCATCCACCTCTCTAAGGTTTTCTTACAGGCTTGATTGTTGGAATTAACTAATGCGGGATTGAGTTCTCCAGCTGGTGTCCTTTCTCTTGTGCGTTCCATATGTTCCCCGCCCCCATCTGAATGCTAACATTTAAACCAATTATTTTAATTATCCAAGAAAAGTGGGGTGCTGGCATTCGGAAAGCATCCTCTCTCATTTCAGGAATGCCTCTGGCTCCAGTACAGGCATTCTCAAATGATGAAGTGGGTTGTTGCTTTGTTGAGCAGATGCCCAACTCCCAGAAACAGAACAATAGAGTTGGGAGGGACCTTGGAAGTCTTCTAGTCCAAACCTCCACTTAAGCAGGAGGCCCTATACCTGTGATGGCGAACCTATGGCACACATGCCAAAGGTGGCACACAGAGCCCTCTCTGCTGGCACATGTGCCGTCGCCCCAGGTCAGATCTCCGTGGCGTTTCTTTCGTGAGCTTCTATTTTCTATTTAGGCTCAGACTCAACCCTTCCAAGACTGAGTGGCTGTGGCTTCCGGCGTCCCGATATAGTCAGCTGGTGCCATCGCTGACTATTGGGGGTGAATCTCTGCCCCCCACAGAGAGGGCTCGCAATCTGGATGCACGGCTGTCTTTAGAAGAGCATATGACGGCCGTAGCCAGGGGGGCTTTTTATCAGGTTCGCCTGATTCACCAGTTGCAGCCCTTTCTGGACCGGGATGCCTTGCGCACAGTCACTCATGCCCTTGTTACCTCTCGGCTGGACTATTGTAATGCTCTGTACATGGGGCTCCCCTTGAAGAGCACTCGGAGGCTCCAGCTGGTCCAGAATGCGGCCGCGCGGGTGGTTATGGGCGCAACCCGTTGTGCCCATGTGACACCCCTCCTGCGTGAGCTGCACTGGCTCCCAGTGGTCTTCCAGGTGCGATTCAAGGTGTTGGTTAAAGCGCTCCATGGCATAGGACCCAGGTACCTTCGAGACCGACTTCTGCCACCAACAGCCTCCCACCGACCAGTTCGCTCCCACAGAGAGGGTCTCCTCAGGGTGCCATCAGCCAAGTTATGTCGGCTGGCAACACCCAGGGGGAGGGCCTTCTCTGTGGGAGCCCCTGCCCTGTGGAATGAACAGCCCCCGAAAATGCGTAAGACCTCCGACCTCTGTGTATTTTGTTGTGCCCTCAAGGCCCTGCTGTTCTGCCAAGCCGGGCTATCAATGTAATGATTTTTAAATTGGGTGTTTTAAATTCTTGGGGTTTTAAATCTGAGCCGAAATTATGTAATAATTTTAATTATTTTTAACTGATGTTTGTCTCAGGCTGTACACCGCCCTGAGTCCTTCGGGAGAAGGGCAGTATAGAAATAAAATTATTTATTTATTTTATTTATTTATTTTTCCTGCAAATAATGAAACAGAAGCTCACGAA